ATGATTTTTTGTTTTTATCAATAAGAATTAAATAATTTTTGGCAAAAAGAAATATAGAATAAGGCTTCTTGCATTTTTTTGATTTTTCTTTAGGTCATGGATAAACAAGTAGAGCTCACAGTATGGAAATGGCGTTCAATGTGTGTTGAAAAGAGACTGAAATACAGTTTAATGCGCATTCTTCAAAGCGTGCATAAGGAAGTGAGGCAGTTGGTGAGCTGAAACAAGTTATATCGAAAGCAACGTGTAAGAAAGAAAGGGCATTCTGCACCGTTTCAGTGCCTACTCAATGCAGTCGTAGACTTTAGTTTCTTTAGTATTATGTTCGCCTAGTACTTGAGATGCAAACACCTGCACTTTGGGGGCAATGCTAAAGTAAGACGTATCAAAAATAAGTTCCTGCTGCTAACCTTCGTAGGCATGGTTCAAGGTTATCAACTTTTTTTTTATAATAACATATGGGTTTCATAATTAGTGATGGCGATAAGTGGAGGCTAAATCGCCTGGATGCGGGTTCGAAACCTGGCGAATATCTATCAATGTGACTTTCCAGAGCTGTAGGTATACGCTTTCTGGGCTTATTTAAACACCACTGACATACGTTAGGGGTACCTGGACTTTTAATTTCTTATTATAAGATTGTTATGGGATGTAAGGGGGCGAACTTCCATCTTTCGCCCCAAGCCAACCTCACCTGCACGCGGTGCATCCTGCTGGTCAACGAACGAGGCTCTGGCGACCGACCGACGGCGGTATATCCGTCCCTTACAAACAGGCGAAATTAAGTACCGCAGGCCGGTGACGGGCAGCAGCGTTACCGGTGCGAAAAGTTTCGCCCTGCGATCGCCAACCCGCCTGCCCAGCGTGGCGATTATGGGCAATACCTCCTATGGGCAAAAAACGAAGGCCACGGCCCCCAGTTCCCGGCAGCCCCACTATTCCTGGTCATGGTGGCGACCATGGTAACGGTGGGGTAGGGGGTGCTAAGAATCTCCGGGCTACGGGAGGCCACCACAACAGACTGACCCTGGCGACGTACAACGGACGCACGCTACGGCTTGACTCGCATCTAGCGCAACTAGAGGTGGAACTTGGGAAGATCAGGTGGCACATACTAGGGTTATGTGAAGTCCGAAGAGAGGGGGAGGACACGATAACTCTCAAATCAGGCCACCTGATGTACTTCCGTGAGGGAGACCAAAAATCCCAAGGTGGCGTTGGGTTTCTGGTTAACAAGTCCCTATCTAACAATGTTGTGGAAATGTCGAGTGTGTCGAACAGGGTGGCGTACCTCATTATAAAGCTCACCGAGAGGTATAGCCTTAAGGTGGTCCAAGTGTACGCACCGACCTCGGCACACTCCGATGATGAGGTGGAGGAGATGTTCGATGATATATCGAGGGCCCTCCACTCCACCACTAGGACTCACTTCAACATTGTTATGGGGGACTTTAACGCCAAAGTGGGAGTACAAAATTGCAGTGAATCGGTAGTAGGATCCCATGGGTATGGAAACAGGAATCATAGGGGGCAAATGCTCGTCAATTTCCTCGAACGGGAGGGGATGTTCTTAATGAATTCATTCTTTAAGAAGCAGCCCCAAAGGAAGTGGACGTGGCAAAGCCCCGACACTATGACAAAGAACGAGATCGACTTCATCATGGCGGACAAAAGGCACATATTCAGAGACGTCTCCGTGATTAATAGGTTTAATACCGGTAGCGATCACCGACTCGTCCGAGGCTCTCTGAATATCGACTTCAGAGCCGAACGAGTCCGCTTGATGAAGGCCAGGCTCCGACCAACCCTGTTTCAAATCAAAATGGGATCTGAAGCGTTTCAGTTAAACCTGGAGAACCGATTTGCTGCCCTGGAAACCACAACCGACGTTAACCGGAACCTTGAAAACGTGGTTCGAGTTCTCAGGGAAGAAGGTACGAGATTTTGTGAAATGCAGCGTAAGGGCAAGAAGTCGAAGCTTTCGGAAGAGACTTTAGGGCTTATGAAGAGACGACGTGAAAACCCACCCGTCACTTCGTCAGAGAAGCGGGCTCTAAACCGAGAGATTAGCAAACACGTGCGACACGATCTCCGGTGCTCGAATACCCTTGCAATCGAGAGAGCGATCGAGCAAAACCGGGGGCCAAAAGTGTTCGTACAATCTCTTGGAAGAAGCCACCTGACGAAGTTGACCACAGCAAGTGGAGAAGTCGTTGTCTCAAAGCCGGCAGTTCTTTCGGAAGTAGAAAACTTCTACGGCCGGTTATACGCTTCGCATGCATCTCGACCTGACCCCGGAAATGAGGACTCTAGAGCCACTTTAATACGCCATTACACCGAAGACCTGCCAGAAGTCAGCATTGACGAAATCGAGATCGCTCTTGGACAGCTTAAAAATGGAAAAGCCCCTGGAGAGGATGGCGTTACGACAGAGCTTCTAAAAGCAGGCAGCAAACCGGTACTCAGGGAGCTGCAAAAGCTATTTAACGCTGTCCTGTTTGAAGGGAGAACTCCAGAGGCGTGGAGTCGGAGTGTGGTCGTCTTATTCTTCAAAAAGGGTGACAAAACCCTACTGAAGAATTATCGACCCATTTCCCTTTTAAGCCACGTCTATAAGCTGTTCTCGAGAGTGATCACGAACCGCCTTGCGCGAAGACTTGACGAATTCCAACCACCGGAGCAGGCTGGGTTTCGGAGCGGATACGGCACCATAGACCACATCCACACAGTGCGGCAGATTATACAGAAGACTGAGGAGTATAATCAGCCCCTGTGCCTAGCATTTGTGGACTATGAGAAAGCCTTTGACTCGGTCGAAATCTGGGCTGTTCTGGAGTCCCTGCAGCGATGCCAAGTAGATTGGCGATACATCCAAGTGATGAGATGTCTCTACGAGGCCGCCACCATGTCCGTCCAAGTACAGGATCAGCAAACAAGGCCGATACCGTTGCATCGAGGTGTGAGACAAGGGGATGTTATCTCCCCGAAATTGTTCACAAATGCAATGGAGGATATGTTCAAGACGCTGAACTGGAAAGGACGCGGCATCAACATAAATGGCGAGTACATCTCTCACTTGCGATTTGCAGACGACATCGTCATCGTAGCAGAAACGCTGCAGGACCTACAACGGATGCTGAATGACCTGGCTGACTCTTCTATACGCATCGGCCTACGGATGAACTTGGATAAAACCAAGGTCATGTTCAATGAACATGTACTACCGGAACCGATTGCAGTACACGGCGCTGTTCTCGAAGTCGTTCAAAAATATGTATACCTCGGGCAGACATTGCAGATGGGTAGAAACAACTTCGAGAACGAGGTGAATAGAAGAATTCAGCTAGGTTGGGCAGCATATGGAAAGCTGCGTCAAGTCTTCACGTCGTCGATCCCACAGTGCCTAAAGACGAAAGTCTTCAATCAGTGCGTCCTACCTGTCATGACATACGGAGCCGAAACGTGGACACTGACGGTGCGGCTGGTTCACAAGCTAAAAGTCACTCAGCGAGCTATGGAGAGGGCTATGCTCGGCGTTTCTCTGCGAGATCGAATCAGAAACGAGGTGATCCGGCAGAGAACCAAGGTAATCGACATAGCCCACCGGATTAGCAAGCTGAAATGGCAGTGGGCTGGCCATATTAGCCGAAGAACCGATGACCGTTGGAGTAGACGAGTTCTTGAGTGGAGACCGCGTCTCGGCAAACGTAATGTAGGACGTCCTCAGGCAAGGTGGAGTGATGATTTGCGCAAGATGGCTGGCAGGAGCTGGATGCGAGTGGCCGAAGATCGATCCCAGTGGCGTGCAATAGGAGAGGCCTATGTCCAGCAGTGGACTGAAAAGGGCTGATGATGATGATGATGATGAAGATTGTTGAGCAAACGTTTATAAACTGCTCTACAATAATATATTGGGTAGGTATGTCTAAAAAATCTTGAAATTACTTATTTAGTCAACTCGATGGGACAAGCAGGTAAAAGAGAAATAAAAATGCAGTTTACGCTTATATTTATGTTTAATAAATTGATCTAGTTCAACAGCATGCAAGTTTTACAAAAAAAAATATATATTTAAATAATCAAAGCCATTAATTGTAACTATATTGAGACAAGGTGACAATGTTATTAGGGGCGCTTAGTTGTCACTTTGTCAGGTATTGTCGTCACGGCAAATCTTCTATTTTTTACTTATAAATAAACGCCAGTTTTTTTACAGAAACTTAAACACTCACAGGCTTGGAAATGCAAACATTTGTGACATCACAGTACCGTTTTTTTATTTCATTTTTTTCATTACCGATAGAGGGGATGGGGAAGGATTAGGGATCCGATAATCTCACTCACACGACAACAAAATGAAAGTTTTGCTTCACGCCGGTTTTTGTGAGACCGTCGTGGACCACAGAGCTTAGTCTATGTGTGTGTAGCACAGTCGTAATTAGAGAGTGGAGATACACGCGCCGTATTTATTAATGAACAGTGTATACGTGTATCGGATTAAGGGTTTTAAAATGGGGCAGTAAGACAATCTGCCGAAAATTTATGTTAGTTATTTAATCAATTTTGATGAAACTATTTATAGGAAAGCCCATCGTCCAGTTACTTGGTTATTAAAATATAATCAATCGGATTTTATATCGTTTAAAGCAAAAAGTGTTACCTAAACCCAGATCTCTCCGTGGCCAGCAACTTTAACCACAAAATAAATAAAACAACAAATCTGAAAAATACACAATCTGCAATATTATCACGGAAATTGATGTGTTGCACGGCCAACTAATATATTTTCTGTTCATACAACGACAAATTAGTTTATATCGGAAACGAATTATTCAAGTGTGGGAGGAAGGGTCGGCTCGACCGGTGTGATACCACGGCCTCACAGAAAACCGGCGTGAAGCACCACAAGGTTGTGTTTCGCCGTGTAGGTGAGGTTAGCGGTGGTGGAAATTCGTTGGAAAGCTTAAATACCCATTTTAAAATAATCCTAATTATTTTTGTTACATTTTCTGTTGAGGTAATTTCACAATGATAGGATGTGGTTCGGTATTATTTAATACTTGTGACTGATAGGAGAACGGGATTTGGTTAGCAGTGGGAGCGCCAGTCAGGTCGGATGCGCAGTACAACGCGTCGTCGTCTTGCACGGGCTGCAGGTTGGGGAAGTTGAGGCAACCATCCATTTGGTTGTCGTGGACGTCTCCTTGCACAAAGTTGTCCACCAGTAGAGAAATATCGTCAACATGCGAGCGCATGTGGAAGTTTAAATGACTACGTTGCTTGAATCTGCGTTCGCACACGGAGCACTCGAAGGGTTGTATGTTGGTGTGGGTGCGCATGTGTTGTCGGAGATGCACCGACTGCGAGAAGCACTTGCAGCAAATGATGCACTTAAACGGCTTTACCTTGGTGTGTGTCCGCAGGTGTTGGTCCAAGCCTGCCTTCTGTGAAAATTTCTTCGGACAAAACGTGCAGACATAGGGCCGCACCCCGGTGTGCATCCGCAAGTGCTGCTGCAGTCCGCCTTGTTGCGCGAAACGTTTGGCACAAATGGAGCACTGGTGCGGCTTCATCTTAGCGTGCACAATGCGATTGTGTTCGTCGTACTCGGCGCTGTTCAGGAATATTTGATTGCAAATGCGACATGAGAAAGTAAACTGATTGGGAGCGTGGAGTTGTGCTGGGATCGGTTCAGCCAGGCGGTCCCGGTCGAGCCGCTTCTCGCAAACCTGACAGCGCAATGCCGCCTTCCGTCTTTTAGTATGCTCTTCCCGATAGTGCACTGAATAATCACAGCAGTTGAAGAAGATCTGACGACACTGTAGGTCCGGTCGCTGGGACGAAGTGAATGTGCAAGTAAATGGTCCCCTGGTTGAAACAAATTAAGAATGAGTACATACTGCTACATAAAACGTCACGAACATGCTAGTGCTGCCCAGTGAATGATACAAGACGCTGAGGTACCTGACATCAATCGGCGGTTTCGGTTTCATTTGTGTTCTCTTCACTTCACCTTCGAGTCGTGTTCGCTTCATGACTCCCTTACACAGGTCGTTTCTTTCAATTTTTATAATTAGGTAAGTCGTGTCTTCGGAAAATGTACGCAAGATAAAACCATCGCGTTCTACGGTGTGCTCATCATTGTTTTTCTTTAACGGAATGAACTTGAAGCCGCATAGTCCATTAATGTTCTGTGCAAGATACATTTCAAGTTAAACAACATTTCTACGCGCTGACTAAATTAGAGATTGCGTTGTCATCACTCGTAGGAAGAATAAATTTTCAAGATTCCAAATCTTGACATTTTGTACTAATTATTATTAGGAATTTGTCGCGGTGTCCCGCTGGGAGCGATGGTAGTCAATTCTCAGCTGGAGGATCTGGATTTAAGGGGTTTCTCGCTCCAGCGATATTTCACGATGACGTATAGAGCTGAACTAATTGAAGGTTGTCTTAATTTACACTTTATTTTATCAGATTAATCCCGACTTTGTGTCAACGCGGGGAGTGTAGTGCGTGTCAGAAAGTGAAAAAGTAGTTTTTTACAAAATAATCTAAACACTGTTACTAGTCTTTGCTCTCTCTTAGTAAAATGATGTAGATAATAACTAGAAAACAATGTGGTATGGTAGGTAATTCCGGTGGGGCAGACCCTTAGATTACCTACTATTTTGTTCTGCTGACAAAGACAACGAAAACACGTTCAAGTAAAAAGTTAAATCTAAGAATAGAGATAGCGACTCACTTGATCATTGTGCCGCGCAGGTAGCTGCTGCTCTTCCAAGTCACTGTTAATGACTTCATCATCATGTTGTGTCTTATAATGATTTTGCAACGCTATCTTATTGTAAAAAGTTTTCATGCAGAATCTGCAGGAGAAGTCAGTTGTCTTCTCACCCCAAATGATGGGATACTGCAACTAATGTAACAATCTAATTACTTCCTAATACGTCGATGATACATTTTTAGTAATTAGCCTTTAGGCCGTGGAAGGCTTAAGTACCTATTCTTATACTTATTTCATAAGATACCTACATAGGTAGGTAGGTTATACTGTACCTACCAAAATGGATGATATATAGGCTACATATTTAGAATACTTACAGGGTTGCCAGGTAAAAGAAGCAATGGTTCTGTCGATGGTACGGGCGTGCCTACTTGTGCCATGTTCCACTTCAAAATAAAGCCTTGGTGACTTAAACAGTTGTCAGCGGAGCAGACGCTACAATGTTGGAAATATTTCCTAAAAATTAAGTACGATAATGACTAACAAAGATCACAGATTCAAAAGTCGATATTATGATAAAAAATATCAGCAAGTTCTTGATCTATCTAGTTTTAGGCACAGTCTCAAATTCTGTTCTCCAGCTGATGTGCCAAATTCCATGAAAATAAATTAAGTACTTTACTTTTTGTTTATTGTGAGATTGTATAAGATTCCGTGGTTTTAAGGATTTTTTTAAGTCTCATTTTGCCGCCTACTAAATTTCATTAAAATTGGGTGATTGGTATAAAACATACAGAAACTTGAGGCTCTCATATGAAACGGCAGATACAGCGTTTGATACGGCCCTAACATAATTTTGAATAGGTATATGGTGAGGATTGTTCGCGCTCACCTCATTTAACATAATTGTGGTAATTTGACGACAGTGGTTAACAAAGGAATGTGGTTGCTTGCAATTCTTTTACATTAAGGAAACGAAAACTATAGAACGCATTAGCCTCCGTATTTATCTGAAAGCTCTTAGCTCAATGTTTACTATTTGTAAAGCTTATACACGTCGTCGTTGGCCTACCAATAATAAAAAAAGATTGTAGGCCACACCATAATACCTGATAAGTACTATGAACTACTATAAAACTAAATACGAATCTGTAACCATGATTTAAAATAACTAATAACTCACCTTCAGGTCTCCGGATATATTCAAATATCCAAAGCTCTCGACTAATATCAATCAATTCACATTAAAATAAAAAGATATCGAGATATGAACTCGATTCAATAGCACACATTAATTCCACCTAATATTTTCTTTTTTCAGTTGAGCTAGCATTTCACAGCCACTAGATCTTTTATACCCTATTATTATAAATATTACAACAGGTGCTACTATCATAATAACATGAAAACTAGAATCCACAATAGATAGAATTTCATGATTTCGAAAAGTCCGCTTTTCATTTACTACGTTCACAGATAAAAAAATTAAAAGACATCTTAAAAAAACATCAAACCTACCATTTATTTTCAACGTAAGATGGCATGTCAGCGTCATGTACAGCTCTCCAATTATTTACGGAATAAACTGCAAATAAAATAAAAACCTTAGAAAATTTGTTTACCTCGAAAATAACTTTTTAATAAATTTGGCGCCAGCGCAGCGTCCCCCATGGACACTGGAAACAGCAAGTGTGTGATTGAAGAAATGTCAACAAAATTATTTAATAATTGAGCGCTTATTTGTGAATGGGAAAAAATTGTTTCGTCCGCCATGACATTAATAAATTTTATGACCCTAACTAATATTTAAGTTACTAATCCAAAATTAAGTTTAATACGAAATTTCTTTTATTTATTACCAATTTAACTATCGGCTCCGCATTGGCAACACTGGTTTGAATTTGAGAATTTTAATTATTACTACTCTAGTCTATAGTCTAGACTAAATTCACCAAATAGTAAATTAGTAAGTAAATAACTAGACTTTAATCTATGGTCATTAACAAAACTCCAAAAAAATGAACAACTAATCAAATCCCTGTTATTAGTAATCTGTGATAAATTCCGCCACAATCACAAATAAGTCCACGGAAACTGAATACGTCAAAACAATTTAGTGCAATTAGAGATATTGTCGTCTTTATCTACCAAGTGAGAGCGGGTTCCTTATCTGTCATGTTGAAATCAAATTTCGCACACACATGAAGTGTAACTGCAACGCACTTTTGTACCACTCGCCAAAGCAAAGAGTATAGTATAATAAGTATACGGGCCACTCGCTAGTCAACGTTCAACCTGTGTGTGCCTCTTTTTAATAATCTTTCTGCCCTAGAAGAACAGTTCTGAGATTGTTGGTGAAATTAGGAACCAATAACCACTGCTAAGAAAATGGCCGGATCAGCGTTGCGGCGGCTTATGGCTGAATACAAACGTAAGTACAGACTACATACTCCCATTATTTAAAATTGGAAAGTTGATATTGACATAATTTATTTATGGAGGTATTTTTATACATGGTTGGTAGATGTAGATAGTTTATTAAAGTAGTCCAATTGAAATTGTTATATATATCACAACAAAATAAATGTCCTTTTCTTCATCAAACCCATAATAGCCAGTCTTGCGAAAAGAGAGATCATAGCATGCATATTTAGTAGTCTTATGAACACATAATGGAGTATACTTTTGGATGAAAACTGCCAAAGCATCTACTTGTCTTTGCCATACTTGGCCGTCTTACATACACACTTGTCACACTCAATAAATACCAATGCAGAGTTGGCTTTCCCTCCCCAATCTCCATAAAGAGCTCATACATTTGAACTTAAACTCTTTAAAATTTTACAGAACTGACCATCAATCCTCCAGAGGGCATTATTGCAGGTCCTATTAATGAAGAGAACTTTTTCGAATGGGAGGCACTTATCACGTAAGGAACTTCAAGATTGAAAATTAAAACTAGATTCAAAAACTTTTGATGTAATTTCAAATAAATTTTACAGAGGACCTGAAGGAACATGCTTTGAAGGTGGCATTTTCCCTGCAAAATTACACTTCCCGCCTGACTACCCACTGAGCCCGCCCAAAATGGAGTTTACATGCGAGATGTTTCACCCTAACAGTAAGTAATTCCACTAAGGTTTATCAACATCTGGTAAATTTCTTAAGTTACCCACTTTTTCTTTGCTTTTTTATATGTTCCCACATTTTCATTCATGTGATTGTAGTGTTTGCAAGCATTTTACCACTATAAGCTATACTATTATATTTTTTTGTTTTTTTGTATTCATATTGAATAGCAGTTGTTCTATATAGTTTTTGTTTTTATATTATGATTTCACTACTAGCAAACTTAGCTAAGTAGTTGTAACTCTTTTGGTGTGTTGGTGACAGCATGTTTGTAAAAAAACTACACCAACTTTTTCATTCATGGCCATATAATTTATTTGTACTACTTGTACATATTTGTTACTGTTTAAGCCTAGTTAAGCAATTATAATTAATTAATGCCATGCCATGTCAATATGGTTATGATAATAATTATCTATAGTATTACTGTGATAGGGTGTCATAATAGTTAAATTCGATAAATAGTAACCATGGAGTTTCTTGCTTGTTTTTCTCCATCGGAACCTATGACTATATGGAATAAGCAAGCATCTTCACTAATCTAAATCTTAAATTTTTGTTTAACATTCAAAAGTGCCTATAATTGTCTAATTGGAATAATTGATTTTAAGTTTGATTGTATTATTTTATGAGTTTTGTACCATAATGCTATATTATATATTAGGGCTTAAAGCTAGCTAGGTACATATTGTGGACCCTTATAGGGCACAGCTAAAGAAGGTATAAATAAGTTTCATTATATAATTAATTACAATAGTAGGCATTTTATATCAATTATTTACATTATCTTGTTATTGATAAACAATTAATTGCTATGTGTAAAACTTATTAATTTTTTAACGATTTATTGAAATATCTAGTAAGTAGGCAATTGTTTTTGTAAGGTCGAAATTACAAAAATTGGGTAATGTTATGAAGCTGCTTGATTATTATTCCAGTATATGCTGATGGTCGTGTCTGCATATCAATCCTGCATGCGCCCGGTGACGATCCCATGGGTTATGAGAGCAGTGCTGAGCGGTGGTCACCCGTACAAAGTGTAGAGAAAATACTGCTCTCTGTCGTCAGCATGTTGGCTGGTAAGTCCTTTGCATAAAAAATTGATAATCTGAGATACATTTGTAACACTTTTGATAAATGAAAGTCGCACAAATCATGAAAGTCGTCATGTTAAATATTTTTAAATTTTAGAGCCAAATGATGAGAGTGGTGCTAATGTTGATGCTGCCAAAATGTGGAGGGAAGATCGAGAACAGTTCAACAAAATAGCAGAGAAAATAGTCAGGAAAACATTGAGTTTGGATTAGTTGTAATGTGAACATTAAGATCCAAGTTTAATCAATTTTCAGGGGAGGTAGCTCCTCTTACTATGACAAATATGTATGAATATGCATAGGCTTTTCTGCATGCTAATTGACAAAGTTATTTTTATGGGACAACGCCGCAAACAAGCAAATTGGTCACCTTATTGTAAGTGCAGACATTGGCAACACCAAGATTTATATTTAGCCTTTTGGGGTGAGGAATTTAAGGTCTGGGGATTGGGGTTGGAGACGCATTTTAGAAATGGCCTAGATTTGTTTATATAAAAATGTACATTATAACTGGTGGATTTTCTCCTGATTCTACTTGCCCAGCCGCTACGTCAACTGTGCTGTCAAACTAGGCACATGGCAAATTTTGTTACCGGAGACTGAACCCTACCCAAACCTTAAATCCCTAACCACCAAAATGCCTTGCTACTTGTAATTCCCCTGGTGATGCAGGTGTCCATGGACGGGCAATTGCTTGTCATAAGGTGATCTGTCTTCAGGTTTGACGCAATATATAAAAAAAAATGTTTTATGGAAAATAATAATTGAGCTACTTTAGCAATAATATAGCAGTTTTCAAAGAACTATTTTAGACTGTTTTACAATTATTGAGTTGAGTAGAATGTAAATAAAAATCTTGTTGAAATGTTATTACTATTACGGAATAATTTAAATTATTTTTTATATAATGTACTTTGGACAATCTTTAAAGTGCTTTTTTGTTTATCAAGTTCCTGGAATAAAAGACCAAATGGTAAATTTGTTAAAAAGATTACTAACTTTGAAGAGTGCTTTGAAGGTTTCTCTTTCAGGACCAGATTTTCTGTCTTCACTTAAAAGGTCATCAGTAAAATTCAGTCTGCATTTTATTAATGACATTTTAAATTGAAGTATTGGGATAACATGGAAACTGCACTTTATAACTTAATATTCATAAGACGACGACGTATTGCATATAAAATTCTGTGATATTTGGATTTAAAGTTGATGTTGCGAAAATGTAGTGCAACAGAGAAATGAGAAAAAGCTAAGATACTATACACTTGGTCCTTCTGTCTTTTTCAATGTTCTCTGCTGTATCTAGCACAATGCGATAATAAGGAATATGCATTCTATAAATATATGTGAAAACACCAGTTGAACAATTTGATTTACAATAAGTAATCTCCATGTTGGTGACTTTATTTCGTGATGTCACTGTGCACCATTGCATGGTGCAAGAGAACTTAAGATTTTTTTAATTGGACATTGCATTCAAAATGTGTGTACCAAACTAATAAAATGTAATTTTGCTTATGTACATTTTCATATATGAAATGATCATTTTCAAGATTTGTTCATGAACAAACAAAGCGAGAATTAAGATTTTTATTTCCAACAAAAAATCACCTTGGTTTCTTACACGAACAAGTCGAGAGAATCAGACGATAAATAAGGTATTTATTAATTCTGAAAGAATGAGCTTCTGTAAGCAGATTACATTTCAGATTAAGATAAAATTAAATTTTTAATAGTAATAGTAAAATGTTATTGGATTTTTTATTTTATTTTTATGTTTTTTGTTTTAATGATACTTGATAATTGACATGATTGTCTTACTAATTTCGAAGTCGTTTGCATATTCCTTATTATATATAGACCTGTTAAACAGAGACCGAGCAGAGTTGTAAAACAACCTGTCGCGACATCGACTTTAATAGTAACATTGCAAATGTTGAGTCCAATTTGTAAAGCAATAAAGTTTGTTTGGTATTCAATCGTCTGTATATTTAGTAAATTGTATTTTCTCGTTATATATAGTTTATTGTCAAAATCTGCCACTTGTACTTATAATATAAACAATGTACTTGTTTCAGCTTCATTTCCGTATAGATACAAATCTAGCTTCATTTTGTCATTAATATGTTAGTTGCACGGCCCTCCGCCAGATGGGAAAAAATATTTTGAGCTACTTACACATAAAATATGTACTTATCAATTAGTTTCCGTGTCTCTTATAATTTTCCATAGAACAGTAAATGTATAGTGATAATTGTTAGCAGGTTTTTAATAAAATGGTATTTGTAAAACTCTGTTTTATGGAGTATCATCTCATTGTAACCCAAAAAGACATTGTAAGGTATGCTAAGGTTGACTTTGACAGTTTAGTTATTAGATACATGTTGATCATATTTAAATCTGACGTTAAAATAGGTGTTTTATGAAATTGTAATACCATTTATATTTGAATAATGTTGTGCAAAATATTCGTGTTCTATAGCCAATACATAATAAACTTAGTTTAGATACAAATATAGTTTATTTTGTAATAACCAAATTATACGAATATTTGTACAATGACACGTAGTGTGGCGGGTAAAGCAAACTAGTGTTGTAGAAGATAATAATTAATAATGTTGGTTTTACAGTTTGCGCCAAGTTTTACATAGTTAGTGTGGTACAATTTTATTGTTTCAATTTTCTCGTATGTCTAAGACAATATTTAAATGATGAATAAAAATCTATTTTCAATAATATATCCAAAATTAGTGCATTATTATTCAACCTACCTCTAAACTAAATCAATAAAGAACTTCTCTTCAAGTTCTGGCGTTAAAGGCACGAAAATAGAAGTCGTTGGCGCTAAAAATGTTCAAGATATTACATATATCCCATACTCCCTTATTGCTGTATATTATTAGTACAGCAATAAGGGAGGCTATTGCCCAGCAGTGAGACACCCAGCCTGCTTACTTCAGACTAAAACCAGAGACCCACATACACATATTTTTTGTAAGCTCCGTAGATCTTAGTATCTGGAAAGTTTGATAGCTAATGCTTAGATGCAATGCTACACAGCTGTACTCCAGTTACCTGTGCACCATGTTACGGGGAGAGACTACTCTTTGTCCTATAAAAACTTGACGTTGGAACTGTACATAGGTCGTCGCGAATTTCTCAGAAAAATGACTCATTTTAATTTATATTTGTAAAACTTAGTAATTTGGTAGGGCATAGATTTTCGCAGCCATTACCTATTGAAATTGTGCAAAAGTACACAATATGCCAAGATAACTAAAGGAAAGAAAGTTGATGTCTGACGAAAACTTTACATATACTTAAAATCATATTATAAACTAAACGAATACAAATGCTTCAATGCTTTGGTCCTGCTCCATCTCCATATGATATTATTAGGTAAGTACCTATCTTTATCTATTACTTATTGTTATACTTAACAATTGGGTAGTTTCCTAGGTCAAAAATAAATTAATTCGACGTTTTAATACGATACAAAATTTAAAAATAACTACTTATACTTTTGTTCATCGATCGATCGATACACTAAGTTTTATATATTTTTTAGCTAATGTTTTAAAAATAAGTAAGCTATTTGACGCCAAAATGCTATGACGTCATAATTCAATGTTTCATACAATTTTCATAGAAAAGTATCGTTTTTGACATTTGTATAAAAGTATTGAATTTGACTAGGTGGAAACTACCGTATTATTGTAAATTAAGTGCCTTGTATTGTAAGTCATGTAGCGAAAACTCGTATGTACTTATACTCGTGTCAGCTTGCATTTGTCATGTTTACCTACTCAAAGGTCTCATGGTGCACGGGCATTGGGTCGATTCCCTGCAATATAGATGAGTTGGGCGGTGCTGGTGAACGTGCCAAGTTCATGAATAGCTGACGTCGACTGAGTGGTCCTTGAGTTTATTTTCATCTTTTTCTGTTTAGCTAAATAGATATTAGAGTAAGCACCTAAATTTTTTGTTTCAATTTTTTACCTAACAAAGAATTCGTTCCTTCTCCATAATAACTAATCTACATCTTGAAACGCTTTACTACAGAACTGACCGACCGGCTGACACTTTAAATCATTCTTTAATTTAAGTCACCCCTTCAATGGGCTAATGGGAATTAATTATTTGACTTTAACTTTGTACCTACCAAACACCTAATAAAGTATTTGGCTGACCTCTTGCGTTTTCTCTCCAGTCTTCAAATACCTATTAGGTAGGTACAGATGTCTGTTATCCAGCTTTGATAGGTAGGTACTTAGGTTTTCACTTTACATGGGCATTGAATGCTACTGTTCTACAAATTTTAACATCTATGTTTATGGGAAGTTCTATTTTGATGATCAGCGAGTGTCCTAAATCCGAAATTTAGCATGCACTTGACTACACAATTCAATGTAGGTATTTGAAATTTCATGTCTAGACATTAAATTTTGGATTTCAACTGTACCTATCACTATTCACTATAGCTAACTAGATGACAAATTTCAGCGTTATAATCCCAATCAGATGTTTTTGAATAGGGAGAAAATGTGGAGAAATTAGTAGCGTATTGCGTAGGTACTGCAGTAGGTTGCTACTGCGGACTACGTCCGATCCGAAGTCGTCGTGAAAATCTGGCCCGCCAAGCCGAGCGCGAAGCAAACACTGCCGTACCAGACTTAGAACCATTTCACGGCATTTTCGGGCCCCTATTAGAGATCATCACCCCCTAAGCTCTAATAACATACCTAAAAATCAATCGTCATTTAGTTCCGAAGTAAAGCGAAAGCAAAGTTACGCATTTATGACACTCACTCACTCATGATCATCAAAATAGAACTAGTACTTCCTAACCTGAGAGAGCTGAAATTTGGTACAGAGTTAGGGTTTATGGCCACATAAGTGGAATACTGTAAAAAATTGGATACTTAACCGAAAATCTGGAGTAAGTGGTGATCCTGATTGAATTAAATATAAGCGAATGACTGATGAAATTTGGTCAAAATATAGATGGTACATTTGACCAGCTGTTCCAAAGATTACCTCTTACATAAATAAACTTGCGAATGGAAGCTTAGAGTAACCAGTTTCAAGTCTTGAACCAATGGGCATTTATTAGCATTTTTGAAAACCACGTTAATTTGAGTGTTGATTTTTGTAGTTTTAATTAACTGCACGCTACAGTTAGAAGTTAGGAAGAATGCTAATGAATTTGTACCTAGGTATGTTTGTAAAAGCCCTCCCGACACAGGAGAAAAGTTGTTGTTAAGGTATCTAGTGTAGGTAGGGCAACTTTTTGTAAAATTAATTTTGAGTAGGTAGGTAAGATTATTATGGGTACAGTACTTCCAATATCTACTTAACTTAGGCAAGTACCTGCATGCCTCGCGGAGGGAGCACTCGGGGTGGGGGTATCGCTGCATGGATTTAATTAATGCAGGCAATGACAGTATCCCAGTGTATCGTTCTAATCTAGTCAATGAAGTGGTAGAGTAAATTGAGTTGACCGTCAACTCCTAAATTAATGTATTAAACAACAATATTTGATGTTTCTGTAATGAAATTGCAAAGGTAACTCCGGTTTACTCTAAGTACTTATTTCAATGTCGGAATTGCGTCCAAGTGCGAGTCGGACTCGCCTGTTAAAGGTTTGTAACAGACATAATCATAATATAAAAGTTCAAACTTTCAGCGATAATTTGCATGGTAATGTACCTTTTTGTGAAGGGAAAATCATCGAATGACTTCCCACGCACAGTGTGAGGCTTGAGAGGAGTGTCAAAGTCTTAGATAGGTACTGATTAAAACTCCTGTTCCTTGTCCAGCTCAAGGCCAATCGCCGCGGTAGGTAGATTATCAATCAAATCAATAGTATTTCTAAGTATCAATTGATTGCACGGTTGGCGCGGTAACTGGGCAACTGGCTGTCTCGCTACGTGTCGCGGCGCGGGTTCGATTCCCGCACGGAAAAACTGTTTGTGTGATCTACAAATTGTTGTTCCAGGTCTTCAGCCGGGGTTGCGGGGTAAGCGCAATGAGGCACCGCGACCTCGACCTAGAGCAGGAGAAGGAACGCGAGAGGTTTTAGTCAGTAAGGGTCTGACTCTCCCTCCCGCCCGGGCCTGGGCGGGAGAAGTCATTTGATGATTTTCCCCTCACAAAAAAAGGTCTGGGTGTGACGTGCATGTGAAATTGTATGTCTGTAAACGCATCCATGACACAGGAGAATATACTAGACTAGAGGAAGGCAACATTCTATTAAAAAAAGGCGTGAAATGTGTTCATGGTGATGGTATTATTTTAACATAAAAATATCCGATATATTTTTACATCAAAGTTAAAATAATACCCGTCTGTCTGTCTTTCGCTCCATACTGATAGACAGACTGACATAAGGCTTCTATTTTTGCCATTTATTTTTGGCTACAGAGCCCTGAAAATCCACTTGAAGGTTAAACTAACACAACTCTTACTTACTTTGAAGACGAATAAAAAAAGATCACACGAGATAGTACTAAAGTGCGCATCTACTCGTGTTAATCAGTGTCTGTATATGCTATACAGACACTGGTATTTTACGTTAAGCTCGTATTATAACTAACTTCAAAGAATACTGAAATTATAATATCATTATTTATACATACTTAAGTGCATTCAAAACTCAACTAAAATCATCCCCAAACTTTAGCTCAGCAACGTACCTACTTATTGATTATAATATAAGTACAGATAAGTTTCCGCTTTACTTCGACTGCTGCGAGTAATCTTCGATCTAAAGC